GGGCGGTAAGTCCCAGAGTAAGAGTGCTTTTACTTTAATAAGACCGATGGACTGGCCAATCAGTCAAAGTTGTTTCTGTCCATGTATGGCATCATGAAGGGTGGTCAACACAGATCTCACTTCGGTGATGGCTGATAAGATCGTGTCTCCTCAGAATGCTTTCCTTGTCTTTCCTTGTCTTCTCTCTCTCCACCCGTTACACAGCAATATACCCTAGCTCACAAGCTCGCAGTGGTTCGTCTTGCCAAGCTGGCAATCCTGACAATAATCACATACATTGAGTGGGTCCGATCGAAGACAGCATACAGACAGGCCACGCCACCGCAGCAACCGGTGAGATTTGGTGAAGCGTCATGACGTAGCAGCAGCATGGCAAACGCAGATTCCACAAAAGACACCACAGCCAGGCAGGCAGGCAGGCAGGCAGGCAGCCAGGCAGAAATAGGGAAGTGGCAGTTTCGCCTCTCACATATTTATTGATAAAGCACGTCGGTCGGCAAACACAGCACCAAAACACAACACGCTGACGAGCCCACGACAGCGACAGACAGACAGACAGCCAGGATGCCACGTACACAACGAACGTACATACAATCGACCGCTAGCTACAATTGATGTACACAAATCTACTGACAAGACACAAGTACAGATGCCGTGCAGCACTTTCACCAGTAAACGAATTAAGCCCCGCCGTCGCACTCAACCACCCACAGCCACCCACAGCCCCCTTGTGTGTTGGCTCCTACGCCTTGATGCCCTGGTCAGCCTCTCCCTGTCCCTCCTCCTCGCCATCCATCTCGGCGGGCTGTCGCTCAGTGCCACGGCGATCCTGACAATGACCGACACAAACCACACATCGACGCACATCTGGCCATCTCCTGCAGTGGCAGTGTGTGGGGGTTGATTGGCCGACCTGATCTGCGACTGTGAGCGTGTCGATCTTGAGGCGCAGGGCGTCTACCTCGCGCTGCCGCTCAGCGACGTCCTGCGTGCATCACCAACACACATTCATATGAATGCACGATAGAGGAAGGTGAGTCTGGTACATTCAGGTGGCTGACCTTTGATGTGTGGTCGATGAGTGCGTCGACAAGCTCCTTGAGAAGCACTCCCTCGGAGTCATTATAGAAGAGGGCGTCCAGCAGGGCTTCCTTGACTGCGTTCTGGATGGCTGGGGTCAGCGAGGGCAGGAGGGGCAGGACGATCGGCACGTCCCTGATGTTCTCGAGAATGGAGTCCTTCAGGTAAAACTTGATGGCGTCACAAGCGGGCCCGCACACATGCCCGATGGCGGCCACCCAGTGCAGGACGAGCGCCAGATGGTGCCGCTTGACGGCAGACAGGGCCGCCGCCATGTGGACAGCCACCTCGCGACGAATCGACCTGCATATTCAACGACGAGACCACCACCCAGGCACACACTCAGGGTGCAGGACGTGTCGGGTGCGTGCAGGTGCTCATTTCCACTTGCCTGGCCATCATCGAGATCTCCTCATAGCAGCCCTCAGCCACGCACATCCGCAGGTAGTGCAGGGCAAGTGCTCGCATCGGGAACGTGCAGATGGTCGTCTTCATTTTCACCTCCTTCAGGCACGCCCCCGCCTCCTCCAGTGCTGCAGCCGATATGCTCGGCTTGCAGATGTGCCCGCCCAGCGCTCCTGACAGCAGCACGACATGGAAACCGGCGACAGAGGCACTTGTCGACCCGCCGTCGCCCATGGGGATGCCCTTGGCCACGGCAATGGAGCCCTCATGCAGTCGGACCGCTGATTCCTCATCAGCTTTGCCGCCACTGCAGGGGATCGCCAGTGAGGCCTCGACGGTGAAGCACTTGACGGAGGACTCCGTCACGCCTTTGAGGCCGCCTTGGTCCGGCAACACCATGCACCAGCCGGCGACGTCACGCACTTTGGCATCGCCGTCGCTAATGGCGTTGGATGGGGGGAGAGGACAGCCGGGATGATCGGGGGTGTGGGGGGTGTAGGGGTGCGGCAGGCCAGCGACGCAGACGCAGAGGTCCGTGCACCAGAAGTCTCCGGTGTCGTTGCCCGAGAAGGGCCGCGCCGTGCTGGTGGATGAAAACGTGAAGATGTCCTGCTCGAAAACAGCCGCTGGGCAAGAACAGACAAGACAGACAGAGTACATCGCATGCCATCGCAGCCTGCCTCGTGTATTCTTCCTTACCGTGGGCCGTCGACAGCGACGGTGAGCCGTCGCATTCGAGAAGAATCGAGCCAACTCTTGACGCGACACGTCCACGAGACCGCACGAGATGGCGTCTCCCAGGTTGGCCACCAAGCTCACGGCTGCCATGATCCCGTCATCGTGAGTCTCTCCCCTCTCGCATCGCCGCCACTGCTCACGGATGACCTCAGGCATCTTGAGCAGGGACGGACGCAGCGCCGCGCGGATGCCAACGTGCTGGTGGATGAAGCGGGCGATGAAGGCGTAGCGGCCGAAGCTGTCCAACACCTTGACGGCCAGATTGTGGTCACTGAGCCATCCCTCAACCACGACCTGACGCAGACCAGAATACAGCAACAGTGGATCCGTGAAGTGAACGAGATCTCGTGCCCACCCCGCCATACCCATCGATGGATGCGCCACAGGAGGCTCTGAGTGCTGCCGTTGGTGAAGATTTTGTCGGTGTCGAAGTGCAGGTAGTCGAGGGCCACCATCACAGGGAGGAAGTTGTCTTTGGTCAGCGAGCGCACGATGTCGGCCTCCTGCTGCAGCACCACCTCACCGATGGGCCGAGTGACGTTCTCGATGGACACCTGACGCACCTGGCCTTCCAAAAACTCACCATCCAGCAGCTGCCCCCACGCACACAGACAGCAAGAAGACAAAGAAATGTGTGCCTGTCGTCTCTGACCGTGTGCGTGCTGTGTTGTGATCATATCCTACGTGGCTGAAGTACTTGAACAGCCGTGCGATGCCCTCCTTAACGACGAGTGGCTCAACTCCCTCTCCATCGCCCCTCAATGCCGCCCCCTCTGTCCACCTCAATTAGGCCGGTAAGCTGCTGCTGGGCGAGGGAGCTGGCGATGCGGCGCATCAGGAAGGCCTCATCGATGAGCCGAGCGCTATATGTCTTGCCGACCGCCCGGGCCCTCAGCGCATCGTCGACAGACAGAAAGGACGCGAATACTCGGCCCAGGACGTCAGCAGGAATCATCTCAACAGCAGAATGCCTTGAGGCGTCAGACTTTGGGCACTCGCTCGCAATGCTGACGCGCCATTTCCAAGACAGTAGCCAGCTCATCACGGGCCTCACAGCCGTGGGATGACTGCAAACAGACGAGGAAATAGAAGAGAATAGGGGCGTCATTGTGTCCTGCTGACTTTCGATTGACTCTCTCTTCCCACCTCTTCCCACCTGTGTTACGTTGTGGAAGGGCTCCAAATTCACCCCAATGTTGTGGAAGGGGGGTGCGAGCTCGAGGACGAAACTTTTTCCTGTTTCTTTTCCTCCGTTCGCTCACTGAATGGTCCTTTGGACTCTCACTGGACAGTCTCGTGCACCAAAATCGCCAAAGAAATGTGTGAGCTTCGAGAAAAACGGCAATTCGATCGTCACTCGATCACCGACTTCGGCAAATTCGTTTTGTTGTTTTATCACATCAATCGCTCCGCAATGAGCCCATTGACACGACCGGTGAGAGAAATAGCCGAAAGGAATGCGGCAAAGGCTGGGGGTCTGGCGGGGGCCTAAAACGCGAGCTCACCTTCCACCAAGGCAGTGAGGAGATGACTCTCACGCACAGACTTGGAGGGCTTCAGATCTTCCTTGCACTTGCTGCAGCTGACAAAGATCTCTACACGTAGATCTCTCGTGGCCGCAATGTTCCTCCTGATGGTGAGCTTCTCGAGGCTCTTGTCCGACACCGACGGCTTCATCGCCCACCCACCCCTCCACCATCATGCCATCGGCAGAGATCACTCATCCGACTCATCAGCACACCTCAACCACCAGCAGCGGCAGCTGGTCTTATGTCGCGGACGGTTGGCGAGAAGACGACCGTCACGGCAGCTCGGAAGGCGCCCTACTTCGGCAGTGCTATTGTCGGCAGCACGCAAGGCGGCATCGGTGTCATCGGAGAGTGTTCGTGTTTCCGATGACGTCGGTGTGGGTGCTGTGGTCGACTACGAGAGGGGCGGGGGCGAGGGAATGCTTGGCGTCGTGGCGGCGACAGACGGGAAGAAGAGCTGGAAGGTCGTGGACGCACTGACCGGCAGGACGCTCTCAGTGCCGCACAAACACATCAGGTGCGCTCCTCTGTCCACACACACAAAGGTCCATGTGTGCAGTCGACTGTGTGTGTGTGTGGTTGCGTAGGTATGTGGTGCCAGGCATCTCTATGGGCGCCGCAAGCGACGGTCGACTGAATGAGTTGGCGGCCTTCATGGAGAGGGCCAGGTCACGAGGATGCGACGCCGATCTGCCGACCGTCGAACTGGCCTGGGAAATGCTCAGAGAGGTGGGTAGCTGGTAATCGACCGCACACTGACACACGCCAATCAGATCTGGCTGTGTGTGCAGGAGGGTGACTCGTTCACTGTGAGCGACTTTGCCCGTCTGGTGCATGACGACGCCAGCACCGCTGAGGCGGCCTATGGCGCCTTCCTCACTCTCCACAGCGATATGGGCAAGGTGTGTTACAAAGACCACTGCACTGCCCACCATCCACTCACACCCAACACACATCCCTGTCTGTCTGTCTGTCTGTCTGTGTGTGTCAGGTGTTCTTCAGGCCGACGCGTGACGGCCATTTCGAAGCCCGCGATCCGTCCGTAGTCGATGTAGCCAGGGAGGCCTTCGCAAGGCGGCAGCACGAGCAGCAAGAGGCCAGGCAGTTCGCCCAGTGGGTAGCCGACAAGCTGGCCGGGGGCGAGAGGATCGATTTCGACCCGGATGCCACGAGCCCGTTCGACGCTGTGGATAGGGATGCCTGGAGGGGGCTGGTGGGAGTGGCCTGCCGTCTGGACGACAAGACATACACCACACAGCACGATAAACAGGTCACACAGACAGACTCACAGGCAGCCGATGATAGATCATCTCTAGCGTCTTCATTCTGTGTGTGTGTGTGTGTGTGTGTGTGTAGGGTGAGGAGTTGCTGTCATTGCTGGGTCGTCCGAGTACGGCTGCTGAGGCCTTCGATGTGCTCGTCCGGCTGGGCGTCTTCCACAAACACGAAAACCTAATGAAACACCGCCTACAGGCACTCAGCCCCCCCCCCCCCCCCCCCCCCC